CCCGTGACTCATTTCCACCACGGCCACAAGAAGTGACTCAGGTCTCCACTAAATCCTCAGCTTTCAAGTGGAGCAAGGTAGCAGAGACCACAGCTGAGCCGGTTGCCCCATCCCGGCCCATCTCCTCTGCTGACAGCCCCGGGAGAAGGCAGGAGGCTCCACGGTCACACGCGTGGCAGGAGCGAACGGCCGCTGACTCCATCCCCAGCCCAGGTCCCCGCATGGCAGGAGCGATGGCTTTGAGCTCAGGATAATACAGTGGGGGAAGAAAATCAAAGAGTTGACAGCTGAGCTGCTTCACCACAAAAAGCTGGTTCACGGTCAGAGCTCAACCCCGAGGCTGATTTTTCCAACGCTAAACCCCGTGGCTGGCTCAGGGAGCGCGTCTGAGCCACGTCTGGGTGCGGGCAGCTGATGGGAGGGATGGCGTCCCAGCTGCCCACACTAAACGTGTACAGGTTGTGTCCGAGCATGCAGACACTTGGCCTGGGCACCCACAGCAAGCGTGCACGCGTGTGACCGTGCATGCACACACGCAGCGTCCTCTGGCGGCCCACAACCCGGGGAGGCAGGAGGCCATAACCCGCTGGAAGATGAAAGGCAAAGAACATGCAGGCAGTGGCAAAGCTTGTTTGCTGATTACAGATAAAAAGCAGGACTCGGAGTCTTCTGGGCTGGAGATAACGAGGAGTAGCTGCGTGATTAATTTTGTCTCGATCGTCTGTCAGTTAAGAGCATTCCCAAACGTCTGGGCTGAAGGGCTGCCGTGCAGCGCGCTGCCTCACCAGGGTCCTCCCCCTTACAGCGCAAAGCAGGTGCCTTTGGAGCGAGGCGAAATACTCCTTCATAGCAGTAAATGTGGGGTAAGCTCATCTCACCTTCCTCCCCGACCTATTTCCACGTCAGGTTTACTCTTAGTCTCTAATTCCTAAAGATTGGCTTAAAATGAAGATGAAGAATTTCGTTATGTGCTCTCTATGCGCTGGCCAGCTACATCATTTCCTTTCCTTTGCCGGACCTAGAGTTAAGTAAACTTGTGAGTTTCCCCACACCTTCAGATAAATAAATAAATAAATAAATAAATAAATAAATAAATAAAATAGATTTACAGTCAGCTGGAAAAAAAATTATGAGCAGATGAGGCACAGAATAATCCAGTCTTCACGAAGAGGGTCAATGCGGGAGAGGAACAAGATAATCTGAGATACCTGTGCCCCTTTGTGAGTTCTGGGGAACAAATGCAAAGGAAAGGTTTAATTAACTTCTCCGTAAGTTTAGTTAACATATGTATTAAAACTGTCTCCGTACCGGGAAAGTATCCTCAAAAGCCTTGTTTCAAACAAGAGATTAATTCCTAATTTTAATTGTGGGATTATTCAAATGCAGAAAGAGTCTTTTAGATATTAAAGGCATTTCTAGCTGGCTTTCAGCGTTTTACCACAGGGAGACTCAGAATCCAATTACCTCTGAAGAAATATGTTAAATATGCTCATTAACATGTAAAAAAAAGTGGAAACATGTACCAGAGAAAAGCTGATGTATTACACTTCTTAATGTCACAATGAATTAGCAGTGAAGGAGGTTGCAAGGAAAGTTATTTAACTTGCTCAGATACCCAGGCAACGTAAGAAAATAAAGCATTTTATTCCAATTAGCTTAATTCCTGATAATGACATAGATGTGATAAAACTCTCTGTGTAATGGGCTCCAGCCCTGTGGAAGTTGAGGAATCGTGCTTTGTGTATGAATGAGGCAAGAAAAGGGAGGTGAGCCTGCAGCTCGGTGTAAAAACCGCCCTCAGCTCTCAGCAGGCAAAAGAAAGAAGGAAACAGCAGGAAGAAACGGCGAAGGAGGCGCGTGGGGAAGGCAGTGACCCCGGGAAGCCTCCGGGTCCCACGGTCGCGCCGAGTGCAGGCGTTTGTTTTTAATTCTAACCTCCCAAAGCCAGCCCCATCCATCCCAGCTCTCCCAAACCCACGTATAAACCTTCTCACGTTAAAACCTTTAGTGCGGCTCTTCCCCTCCTTCATCGGCGCTAAGCTACACTTTCTGTTCTTCCCTGCTGAGCGGAAACAGTCGCGCAGAAATAAACGGTAACGTCCTGCTTTATTGTTTAGTGGAGAAAGCCGACCGCTCCGACCTAACTCCCACCCCCTTGAGCCTTAAATACCCCCAAGTCCTGACACCCAGCACCAGCTCAACACCAGTCCCTGCCGTTAGGGCCTGGCTCATCCCACCCCCTCAGCTGCCGACAATGCCCCTTCCCTCGGTGCCTCCTTCATCTGCTGCTTCTTTTCCTCCCCATGAACCAAGGAGCTGAGCCATTTCCCAGATCCAAAAGGTCTTCGGGCTCTCTGAGGACACACCAGTTTTCTAGTTATATTTTCAAAGGAAATAATTTTAGTTGAGGTTGGTTTACCTGAAGCTTTACACGTTAAAATACACCAGGAGAAACTGAAGCATGACCTGAGTTGTAACTTTTCCGACATCACCATGGTGGTAACAACAGCTACTAAATTATTTTTAAAGGCTCTGTGTAACCATAGACTCTTAGATTTTCCACACCTTTTTTTTTTTTTTTTTTTTTTTTTTTTTTTTTTTTTTTGCACACATCTTGTTCCAAATGACCGCGTCAAAGTCCCAGAGCTGCCGTGAGCCAAGTGCCACCTCCAGCTTCATCCCGCTGCACATCGCTCCTCCAAACCCACCCCAGCTCTGCGGTCCACAGCCCAGGGAACCACGCCTGCCCCTCGTGTGAACACACCGGCCAGCACGCTTAGAATATCTTTTTGCCCAAGAAACAGGAAGAAAGGTGAACTGGGCAGGTGTGGATAAATTTAGGCGATCAAACTGCTTAAAGGAAAACAACCAGAGAGCATTTTACCAGCAGCCTAAGCTTGAATACACGCTGTGCCTATCCAGAGAAGCTGGTTTGCCCGGTGCCCCAACACATTTTTCCACCAGCGAGTTGAGAAAACAGAGCTCCTTCAGCAAATGCACCTCAGGGATTTGTGAACATCAGCGGAGCAAAGTGCTGCAGACTTGTTCCCTCCTTCGCCACATCACGCACCTTACCCCCATGGTAAATCCACCTTGGGAAGCCAGCCCAAACGAACACCCATTTTAGCCGCTTCGAACTCCCCAAGGATTTATCCTTCTTGGAAGCACAGGTGGCATCACAGGGGAAGGAGCCACCCCTCCTGCCCCAAAACTTGGGCTGTGGTCTTAATGCTGCCTTTCCAACACCAGCATGGCTTGAAGGTCTTTGGGACACCCGGGAATCTCTAATCACGCTGGGCACAGCCTTGGAGGGTGCTGCTTCCCGTTGATATGAGGTGAAAAGGGAGAAATTGGAGCTCAGGCTTTATTCCAGCCAAAGGCATCACGAGCCAATTGTATTAAGAGATTTGACTCTTCCGGAAAAACAGTTTTCAGGGTAAAGAGCAGCACAAACGTTGCTCTTCTGTTGTAGGGGAGCTCTGAGGAAGATCAGCTTCTTTCCCGACCCTTCCAGAGGTCAACCCCTCCCAGGCCCATCCCAATCCTGTCCAAACCCCCCCCCAGCATCATTACAAATGAGGGGAGAGCTTGTGCCAAACCTCCCCTCCTCTTGCACAGCTCTGAAAGCAGCATCACCGAAGTTTCGTGCGATTTCTTTAGCACAGGTCTCAGAAGCACCTGCCCTCCACTCCCTGGATTGAACATAATTTATCGCGAGCTCTGTTGTTTTTCTCTTTTCCGTTCTGTAAAACTTTTAACTTCACGTATCACTTGACCTTCTAACCTTCTTTCTCCTTCATAAAGCACGTGTGAAACCCTGTACAACACCAACCTGTTATCGTCTACGGCTGTCTACAAGAGGAGAAACCGCCCTGATCAGGGTTTGGGTGGTTTGACTAGAAATAACTTCGCCAAAAACACCCTAACCACATCGGCCTCTCCAAGGTGCCCCAGTAATTTCCCCCCCTCACCCACCCTCACTCCAGTTTAATGAGAAGGTTTGCAGCAAAGACGCCACATCTTAGAGGATAGTGATGCGTTTCCCTGCAGGTCTGATAGAAAGGTTGATAGCCAGAAATAAAAGGGTATTGCGGAGGAGATCAGGGCTCCTCCCCGGGCACTGCCCGCTCATGCTGACAGAAGAGAAGCTTTGACGGCACCCGGAATTAAAAGCTATATTAGAAACCTCTCGGCGTAAAGAAAGGGCGTGGGTTCAGACAGAACCAGCTGGAGAAAAGGGAGCCCTGAGCTCAAGAAGACTCGGCAGACAATCCTTTGGTTGCCAAGCCCTCCTGACCCTGCAGCATCCCATAGTCATCCTCTCCAAGCGCTTCCATGCCCCCCTGCAAGGATTTCACATAAACGAAGTGGGACCCATTAACCTTCCCCCTGCCAGGCACGGAGCAAGCCAGGGTGTTTTCCTGAAAGTGCTTTCTTTAGTACAAAGTTGAATGTGTTTTATTTTCTACGCCCAGAGCACCTTGTACGCGAAAAGCTACACGTAGATTTCCGGTATCGCTTTGCTATGGATCGGAAAAAAAAAAAAAAAAAAAAGGACTTTGAGAAGTAGAAGGCTAAAGTAAGGGATCTACTCAAATTGCCTAGGAAACAACTTGCGTGTCACACTGCGTTCGGAGCAGCTGGCAGGCAATAAGGCAGCATAGGCAGATAAAAAAATTTACTTCCCTGAGCAAAAAGCAACTGTGCCTAGGTCTGTGAGGCTGCCAGTTAACCCACTGGGCCCCAGTATGGTGGCCTCACCCACAGGACACAGGGTTGCAGTGGGGACTGGTGCTGGACACAGCACAAGGAGTTTAAGTCCCTTCTTTTCCACGTGCCTCAGTTTCCCCTTCTGATAAATGGGTGACTGCAGCCCACCGTGCCCACAGCCCCCAGGTGCTCGCTGGCTCTGGGGACGCACCGTGTCACCCTCTGTCCTGGTCCCAGTGCCACTTGGTGGCACTGTTTGAAAAGATTTCTTTGCTCCATGTCTACCTCCCCGTCGGGATGCAGAAGAGGGAGTTTCTGGAAGGAATCACGTTAATCTTGGCATCGCAATACCCTAATTTTTCTTCCTTTGTTTTCTTTTCTCGTTATTCACCGTGCAAGTGCTCCCGGGCCGTCTCCTCCCCGGCATGTCAGTCACTGGGGATTGCCTCCTCACAAAACACGTTTGCCAAACACAAGAGTCACGGGCGTTGTCAGGCATCACCTTAAACTAAATCCTTCAGTGGTAAAAATAGCGCTTTTTTTCTGTTAAATTCCTCTGAAATGTGTCTGCAGGTGGGGCAAGCTTAGGAAGGATCATGCATGAAGTCCACAGAAAAGCATCCGAGCAGAAGTTAATGAGAAAGAGACAAACGAAGACAGGGGCATGACAACGTAATTGGGTGAGAGATGTTTCGGGTGGCCCTGATGAAGGGGTGTCTCCTCTGGAAGATGCAGGCTGTGGTCCTGAACTGTATATAAGATGGCTGAGAGCTGACCGGCTCCAGACTGCGCTCCTGAACCTCAGCGCTCCTACTCCTCACCCAGGTAAGCCCGGACTGCTTTTTCACGCTGTCTGACTTTGCTACCTGCAGGAAAGCAGGAGCGTCTGGCCGTGACGATGTCCCTGGAGCTGCCGCTGCTGAGTTCTCCTGAAGGGAAAAAAAAAAAAAAAATAGAATAATGACCTGGAATTACGCTATTCAATGGTTCATTAGAGACGACCTCGATTCACAGCTCTGCTCTGCTCCAGAGAAAACAAAACGGGGATTTTTTTTTTTTTTCTCTCCTCTCTTACTGTGTGTCCCCAGCCTTTCAGTTCTCACTGTATCTCATCTCCCCAGCCATCTCTGCAGCTGAGTTTCATTTTTCAGATTTGTTTTTCTGAAAAAAAAGAAATCCTTCTTGCTCTCTCTTTCCCTCCCCTCATACAGTTTTATTTTATCTGTGCCCTTCTCTGGCTTTTCTTCCTCTCTCTGCATACCCAGTTGTATTGTTGGAGAGTAACTTATCCGAAAAAAATCAAGCACACAAACAAACAAACAAAAGCCCCTTTTTGTCTGTGTTTTTCTCGCAGACGGCCTCAGTTTTGCAGGGACATGGCCCAGTTCCAGGAAAACATCAATGGCATCGTTGCTGCTTTCTACGTGTGCGCCAGAAGTGATGGCAACTGCAGCCCCCTGAGCAGGGAGGAGCTGAGGCAGCTCGTTGAGCAGGAGTTTGCCGATGCGATAGAGGTGAGGGTCCAGCCCCACAGCTGGCGCTTGCCATGGGTGTGCCTTTCTGCCCTGAGACTGCTTGGGTGCTCCTAGAGAGATGGCACAAACGGTTCACGGGCTTTGCCAACACCATTTTGTCTCTTTACAGAACCCCCAAGACCCCAAAACCATCAAGAAGGTGCTGTGCTTCCTGGATGATGACAGCAACTGCAGGGTTGACTTCAGCGAGTTGCTCAGCCTGGTTTTCCGCATGGCCAAGGCTTGTTACAAGCCACTCCAGCAGCACCAGGCGCCAGAAGATGGTCAAGAGCCAAGAGCGCAAGAGAAGGCAGGTGGGGAGCAGCTGTCGGGGCCACGTGCAGCAGGGAGGGTCTCAAGCAACCAGCAGGTCCCTGAGCAGGGTGTGAACAATCAGGTCCAGGACACTGAGACACAGGACCAGGACAACCATCAAACCCGGGAGGGTGAGACACCAGAGCAGGACCAGGACAGCCATCAAACCCGGGAGGGTGAGACACCAGAGCAGGACCAGGACAGCCATCAGGATGACGGCACTGAAGCATCAGAAGGGGATCCAGAGAGAGATGAGATACTGGACACTGCAACCTCAGAGCAGAACAGAAATACCCATAAGGCTGAAGAGACTGAGACACCAAAACAGGACCCAAAAACCCAGGAGGCCCAAGAAACAGAGGCAGCAGGGCAGGGTTCAAACCACCATCAGAGCCCAGAGACTGAGTCAGCACAGCAGGACCTCAATTGTCCCTCTGAGACCCAAGAAAAAGACCCAAACAAGACGACCCAGGTCTGTGAGGCCCCTCAGCAGGACCCCAACCCTGGCAAGACCCAGAAGCTGCTGCGCCCACAGCGGGGTGTAAACCCCCGTCGGGATCTCAAGCCCTGGGGAACGTGCCATGACCCAGCTTGCCATCAGCTCCCTGAACCCAAGGGGCTGGAGCTGGAGCACAGCGGGACAGAGGCTCCGTCTTGTCCAGCACAACAGCAACAAGAGGCTCATCACCAAAACCAACCCCCTATAGAGCAGCAGCTCCTGCAGACTCTGTATCAGTGGCCACCACAGCAGTAAAGGCTGAAACAAGCCCCCATCCAAGTGAGGCTTTTGCCCCCTGCAAGGAGGTAGATTTTGTCCAGTCCCACTCTGGTTTTGCATTTCTATTTGTCCTGTCTTGTCTGATTCCTTATTATCTCTGGGCTTCACACCCCCCTGGCTTGTACTGAGCTACGCATGACTAGAGCCCTTCCCTTCTTACTGCTCCTCTGCCTCTGCCCGTGTAAGCAAAGCAATAAAACTGAAGGCAAAACACCCCGGTGTCCCAGTGTGTTGTGGGCAAGCGAGCCCTCAGCCCGGCTCTGAGCAAACAGCCGGGCTGATGTGATGTGGCGCAGAGGACCTGAGCGTCCGTCCCTTCCATGACATATGGCCAGATTGCTCCAGGGTGCAGATGGATGGATGGCGGCAGAGGCAGGCGTGTCTTGGGGGCGGATAGCCTAAAGGAGCTGCTGCTCACCTGCCTTTGCAATTTAGCCGAGGTGAATCGATTGCTCCCTGCGGGCAGGGATGTGGTGTCTGCAGAGAGGGTAGAAGTCTGGATTAACGCAACGGCACGGCCAAGCTGAACGGATCCCTCACAGCATCCCTCTGCTCCAGACGTTTTTCATGGCTGTTGTGAAAGAACAAACAGCTGCTTAACGCTGAATGGCAAGGGTTTGTCCTGTTTAACCTCACTTACTAATCATCTCAGAAGCAAGGGGAACGTGGAGCATGCTATGAAGATCAAAAATCCCTGTTAGCTATGGAAGTCTCCAAGCAAAGGAGTGGAGACACATTAAACACAGGAAAAAATGATTTTTTTTTTTTTGGGGGGGGGTGGTATATCCAGTCCCAGCAACAACTGAGAGGCCAGAGATAAAAAGCTGACGTGCGAATAACCGGATCCAATCTCAAACTCAGATTCAGTTCAGGCAGTTTGGGGTACCAGGTCCTTGGGCACTCGTCCAGACACGCACATAGGAACGTGGACAACTCTGAGGGCATGAGCAGGCCAGTGAAGTCAGTGGGGTTTATTAGGGGGTTCAGACATGCTGGACCACCAGGCAGGCCCAAAGACTCGCACCCCACAGGGAAGGTGATGCTCAGCCTGTTTTTCCCCCGTGTTATCTTTCACTTGCGACCTATCAGCAAAATCTGCACGATAAATGCACTCGCACCTCCTGCTCTGTGGCCGGTGACAAGCAGCACGCAGAGACCTCACTGGAAAATAAAACATCATTCCTCTGGGACACCCCAGAATTTCACAATTTGCTAAGGGCTGAATCAGAAAAACCAGCGTTTCAAAACTAACCCCCAGAAACATACATCACAAACGCGATTTGATTTTCAAAGTGCTCGTGTCCAAAGTAAATATATTAGACACGAAGTACCAGTCTGCCCTACTACTGATAAAACGTATTAGCAATAATATGGTCTGAACTACCTCATGGCAGCCGTGGACGTGCGATGGGAGAGTCAAGCCTTCAATTTCATCACCCATCCGTCAAAATCCCATTCCACCTAGACGTTTCTCAGAACGTTTCGTTTTTCAGAGAACTCCAATTCTCCTGTAAAAATCGCTCTCGGAGGTTTGTCCTATAGCTCTTTGCTTCTTAGTAGCTCTGATTTGGGATTGAAAATCACCAGATCCCAGCATCCCTCTGTAGTCTCTGTCCATCAGCTGCCACCTTTTGCAATATCAATAAAAAAAAAAAAAAACAACTGACCTCCCACCTCAGGCAGGCACCAAGCCCTGTTAGGGATATGTTAATTATATGCTCTATTCTGAATAACACTACTTTTGCCATCAGGAGTGTCAGATTTGAAGTTGAGACCGGTGGGGTTTTTTTAGTTTGTTTTAAGCAGAACATGAAAATAATCCCACTGACACAAATACCTAAGAGTATTTGTGTCAGTATGGCAAGTCTGGGAGGTGTTGGAAGAGGAAAGATCTTTTTATACACCACACAAAGAGCCCAGATCCTCTAAGATTAAATGCAACAGAAGTTCGGTCACCCTATATAAACGGTGACAGGGATGGGCACAGAATTGGGTAAGAAGGATGGACCCCACCCTCTTGGGTAATATAGCTTTTAAAAACCTCCCCACCTCCCATCCTACGAAAGCATCTTTGGGGAGAATGAAACCCTTGGAGAAAAGTGGGGTTCAGTGCTGCTTAAAACATGCTTTGAAATATTTTAATTATTTAGTTGTTGTTGTTGTTCCGGGAAGGGCAGCAAATCCCGGGAAAGCAGGCGATGCACATGGCCAAAACTCAACACGCTTTTTCCTGCATCGATACCCAAACTCTGCTCGACGGCTCGCACGGCGGCTGACCGTCCCGCGCTGCCCCAGCCCCTGCGGGGGGGATTACAGACTGTTACAGGACACCAAGCCGCACTCTAATGCTCTAATTTTAATAATAACTCCAATCTACCATAAAATTACAGTTTCCCAAGGGTATCATTATCCCACAGGTGGGGTATAATTTGCGCAAGTATAATTTAATCTTAAAAAAAAAAAAAAAAAAGGTTCAAAAATGAAGTATGGCTAGTAACAATCCTTCATACGCACTTGTATGAGTATCCCCAAGGTGTTACCAGCACTAATTAATTAGGCTCCTACACCCAGTATGATCTTACCTTGCAGATGGGCCAGATGATGAGACACTCACCCAAGGCTGTGTGACAAGTTCATGCTCCGAAGGCTCTCTGCAATGTCTCCGTCATGCTTGTCAAGGCAGCAGCCTACCTCCAAAACCAAAAGCAGGGGCCCAGGTGGCACACCTGGTATCTTCTTTATTTGCTCTGGGTACTGGGAGAGATCAGGGTGAATAAAGGAATCGGTTGGTCTCTAATTATTTTACCGTCGAAAGATTTAAAAAAAAAAAAAAAAAATTAAGATTGTAGAGGTAATTACAGCAAAAGCTGCCTAGGGCAACGAAGATGAAGATTCAACGCGAATCGACCTCATGGCAGGGAGGTTTCTGCTTTTATTTTTAATTAAAGATCAAGCAAAGTTGAAATGAAAGTCAATCGTGGAAGACGGTTAGCACAAAAAGCGTTGTATCGTGATTTTTCTCAATGAAAAGTCATTGCTTACGGAAGAGACATTTGCTAGTAGGAAAATTCATTTTTGCAGAGATTACTGCTTTAAAATGTTCTGTTTGTGGCTGGATTTTATCCAACAAAAGCCTGGATAATATAACAAAAAGGCTCCTTAATAAGTAGTAAAAAAAAAAAAACAAAACAAAAAAAAAAAAAAAC